CGCGCGCAGGTCACGCCAGGCCGCGCGGAAGCCGCGCGCAGGTCACGCCAGGCCAGCCAGAACGGTGCTCGGGGGGGATACCAACTTGGTAAGTTGTTGCCTGGGTGCTTGCCTAGTTGTTACGAGGTACCACGTGTCGCAATTTCACTGGAGGGCCAAATCTGCCCTCATCACAAGTATTTCTTTATTATATATAATAGAATCGGGTCGGGCTTATTTGAGAAAGCCAAACCAAAGCCCACAGGCCCGAAATCTCGTCCAAATCCGAAAAATAACAGACAGAGCCGGGCTGGGTCAAGCTGTCAGTCTACCCGGCCCATGAATATGTCTAATTGCAAACAGTATTCACTTTGAACCCAAATATGATCTGGTTAAGGTTGATCCAAATCCTATTATGGATCCACCCCTATCCATTCTGATGTCAACCGATACAATAATATTCAAATTTATCTGATTACATTTACATAAAATTAAATATTATTTTTTATTAATGTATTTAAAATTTAAATTCAATTAAAATCTGAATATTAATAAATTAAATTTGGATGTAAATATTCAATTCCATGCAAACATTACAATAGGGGTTGAAACTTAGGTGGGCTCTCGTTGATCTTTTGTCAAAATTTGAATGGACCTGAGCCCAAAGAAGTATAAAATGCTAATTTCGTTACCAATCTCTTGTCCTAGTGTGCCTGTCCTAGTATTTGTTGATGCTGTTGGCAGGGCCCTTCCTAATCTTCGATAAAAAAACAAAAATAAATAAATTTGTTGTTATGGCACCACTTTGAATTAGATGAAATAACTTCTTGATGGGGCCACACAGTAGTACATCTAAGGTCATGATTTTCTGTTTTAACACTGCTAGGAATAATATCATAGCAAAAGTAAACTCATAGTACACCAATAGATCATTGCAAACTTGGGGGGTCCATGCTGCAGCAAGGCAGTGGTAGTAAAGTAGTAACTAAATGCAGATGGTGAGTTGAGGCTGTTTTACAAATATGGTCAAGACTATGGGATTTGGGGACACTAGACTCGTGAACAAGATTGGAACCTCTGTAACTTGCACTGATTTTATTGCATTTAATTGGCCAATGAACAAAGTTTTTCTTTGCAGTTGGAAAATCTACATCAAAATCTATAAAAGTTCTGCAATAAATTCACCTTGAGAGATCATATTACTTGCTTAGTGAGTGGTTTGATTGCCACTTGTTAGTAAATGTCACTAGTCTGGTTCGGACCCTAGTGGCTAAGGATGAGGTCTCGATTAGGGTTCAAAAATATGAACCCAACTTGGTGCCCATTTGGGAGGGCTTTCTGAAGGTTGGCCTCATATGAAAAGCCAGGAAGTTGTGTGTGAGAGAATTGAGATGGATTTATATATCGTTATGGCTGTGTTTGGAAACGATGCAAATAAGTGTGAATGTAAATATGTAGAGTGTAAAATGGTGCATATAAATTGTAAAATTGAGTTAGTTTTATACCAATAAATTTATCTTCTTACCAAACAGATTTTTAGCTGTAATGGATGTAAACAAAAATTTCAATAAAGCATATACTTTTTTTTTTATCAAAAGCCCATTTGAATGTAAATTTACTTCTTTTTTATTGATGTACTTTTACATCTTATTATCAATGTAAATATGTATTAGTCTATCATTTATCAATACATAAATATAATGTTACCCAACATAGACAAAAGTGAACCAGAGTACAAATTTACTCTGAACCAAGATTTACACTCAATTCGTATCGTTTCCAAACACATATTATAAACCGTAGTTCATAGCCTGATTGTGGTTACTCACCGCAAAATGCAAATAAGAAACCATTTACTGACCATGGCACGCTTTCGAGGGCCATGGTGCACCACATGTATGCTCTTACATAAAGCTTGCACAATATTCCAAATGGGCTCTTAACTTTGGTTGGACTTGACCACTAGGGTTGAGGCTTTGATCAATCCAACCCCACACTAATCCAATATATCTTCATATTTGTATGGATTATTTATTAAAACACCCCCTTTCATGGATTTAGTGAAATGGTAAATTCCTGATTAGTATCCTTGGTAGTATCGGAATTCCCAAAACTGTCAATTTAGTCGTTACAGTTATTTATATAAGCACATGATTATGCATTCAGGAGCTACACATCTCTATTATGAATTGAGAGATGTGTGGCTGTAATTCACCGGGTAGAGAGTGGGTAGGAAATAGGGGTGTTTACGGTTCGGTTAACTGAATCATGGCATTCTTTTGTAAATCAAATTGGTGGTATCGGTTTTTCCAATTCTCCAAACTGAAATTGAATCGGTACCATCGGTTCACCAGTTTTGGTTTTTGACCAGTTCGGTTCTTCGGTTTTTCAGCTTTTTATATTTATAATATACATTATACAAATATATGTATAATATTATATAATAAATAATAAATGATATATAAAATATTTTAAAAATTTTAAAATTATATAATATATATAATATATTTATAAATAGATAGAAAATATGTAACATATATTAAAAATATATAAAATATATATATCGGTTGGTTCAGTTAACCATCGGTTTTTTGGATGTTAATCGAAAATCGAACCGATCCTTTGGTTTTTCAAAAATCCCAAACCGAAAGCAAACCGCCACATTTTGTGGTTCAATTTTTTCGATTCGGTTTTTTGGTTTTTTTATGGACACCCCTAGAAGGAAAAGTGAGTAGAAAATCTGGGGTGGATGATGATGTCACATGCCATTTATAATATTTCAAAATTCCAAAATTACCCATTTAATAACACATTTCAAATTTCAAAATTCCAAATTCCAAAAAATCCCAACAGTAATCAACAGTCCCAAATCAATAGCCAGAAAACCCTTGCTTTGCAAGCTCATGAAGGGCAGAGGGGGCGGACAATGGACAATGGACAATGAACAAAAAACAGGGCAAGAGACTGGACCTCAAAGCTATAAAAAGAAGAAAACAGGGCAAAAGACAATGCAAGCAAGAATCGGGCAGTACAGGATAGAGACCACTTAAGTACTAAACGTTAACGGTGGACGGTACAGGATACACATCTACCCTCTGTGAGGTGTGAGCGTGGACTCTCTAACTAAACACCAAAGTCCGCGCTTCCTAGAAGCTGCTTTCGGATCAAGCAATTTCGGCACCTCCGGTGCTTTTCAATTCCAATCAGATTTGGGTCTCTCCCTTCCACTCTCTCTCCATTCGAACCAGAACACTAGCGGTTTACGCGCGGAATCTTTTAGCGGTGGGAAATCGCCAGTTGCAGAGCTCGACTAAAGAGAAAGAAATCCATGGCTGCTTCACCTGCAAACAAAGGCAATGGATGTTAAAACCTTAATCTCCGCCTATTCGAGTGAAGCCTGGACAAGACTTCTCAGTTTCCTTCCTTCTTTCAATTCGAATTCACTCGCAAATGTTTTAAATTTCTACACACGAACATCCCGTTCAAGATATCGGAGATGGAGATCGGGCTTTCCTCTTCCATTGCCATCAAAGTGACTAAAATTGTCTCTGTAAGTTCTTGATCTTCTTACCTGTGGTGCATTCTCTTTTCTTTCTCGTCATTTGGTACTTCTTATTACCTGTTTTTCTGTCTTTACTTTTTTGGTCAAGAATGTGGAAGAGAACAACCTCTCCAGTCAATTGAATTGTCATAACGGAAGAGAAGAGAACAAGCCTATCAAAAAAAAAGACGAGAACAAGGTCTTTTGAGGTCATTTGTTGTATTGCTCAATTGCCATCTTTATGAAATCATGTTAGAAGAGTCGGTAGATCAGTTCTTAGATGAATGTCGGAAAGGCATTTCTAATGTTTATGGTTTCTGGTTTTGGTTCGCTTTTCTTTCGACTACTACAAGCTAGGGTTGATCCTCCTATCAAAGTTATCTGGTTCTACTCCGTGGTTAGCTTTCGCGGTGGTAATCTAGACGGACTAGACCCTCTAAGTCGGGTTTTAATGGCGAAGGACCTGTTTTTGCTGCTTACCACTTGTTCGGCTTCGTGTAATGGTTTGAACTTTGAACAGTGTTGCCGTACTCGCTCCAGTACTGTTTGAGCTGCACCAAATAAATCAATATTGGTCCAGTAAATAGTTCTGCAAGTGGGTTAACATGAACTTCAATTAGGATTTCACATGAACTTCAACAAGGTATTGTAAAGAAAATTAGATGACGTTCTGCAAGTGGGTTCACATGAACTTCAATTAGGATTTCACATGAACTTCAAGAAGGTTTTGTAAAGAAAATTAGATGACGTCTAAAAGGCATTTATGTCATTTCACATGCCATTAATTTCGTTGTGACAACCCCTGAACTGTAGGGTATTAATGAGGAATTTTCCTTTACTAAGAAAATTCCACTTTAGTACTTTGAGCTTTTAGGGGTAGTGTTAAGTTAGTACTTAGTATCCAAATTTTCAAACATGTTAATGCAATACTTAAACTTTCAAAAAGTGTTAAGTTGGTCCTTGCCTTAAAGGACCTTCAGTCATTTGTTGAATATGTCAAGAAGGCATTGTTCATTGTCTTCTATCTTGAGACTGAACCCATTGAGGTGTTTGAGATTCTAAACTAATGACGTCATTGTCTTCTACCTTTAGATTTGAAACACATTCTCGTCTAGTTATTTCTTTGCTTTTAGTTATTGTTTCCTTCTATCATATTTCATGTTTTTTCTCTCTTTTTCTTTGAAGATAACTGATTCAATCTCAATGTAGAAGATAATGAATAATGTCTTCCTTTGAAGGATAGTTTTGACATTTTTAACAGATAACTAACGGTCAATTAATGACAAGAACCAACTTGACACTTTTTGAAAATTTAGGTAATGTAGTGACACATTTGAAAGTTTAAGTACTGATTTGACACTACTCCCAAAGTTCAGGGTACTAAAATTGAATTAGCCAATTTGCTTTGCCCAGTTCAAATCAATCAGCTTGGTCTGAGTCCATGCAACTAGAATTGACCCTTACCTGAATTTGGATAGGCCTGGCATGCTTGCCTTGACCTGGTTCGGATTGATCGGCTTGGTCCCAAACCTGTGCACAGTCCGATATGGACCAGTTTGAGTCAATCCAAACTGATCCAAATCCAAATAGTTCAACTACTCTTGATGTGATTAGCTTGAAGACAAATCCAATTAGATAGTTCAAAGTTGGTTTGACCGATTTGGTTTGGTCAAACCCAAACATAGTCAAATGGCTTCAAGTGATTAATTGTTTTTTATTCTCTTGTAAAAATAATATGTATGTAATGTGATTATTTGAACCTTCGCCACTTGTGTAAATAACAACCACTGTTAGTCTATTATCACCAAGCTATGACTAACTTGTTTGTCAAAATGAAGTTAGTTTTTAGTTTTAAGTACATAAATATAAAATTAATGGGTTAGGTGGGTTGGATTGGGTCAAGGCGGGTTTGGGTTGAACCCAATCTATTTAATTTTATATAATTGGGTCATTAATAGGTTGGCAGATTAGATGGATTGGGTTGAAGCCCAACCCCAACCCAATCCACCTAATTGCCACTACTAACTAAAACCTATCCTATAATTTGCATTTTACTAAAATACCCCTATAATTTGCAATTGATTTACTTAATTGACCTTCCATTAAGTGACAATGGAATATGACAGTTTTGACCCTAATGTTTATTTGAATAAATTCAATAAAAAAAAATGAAAATATCATTTTTGTTCTTAATAAGACACGGACAACCACTCTATCTAGTTTTATTTGGTCAATTTTGGTTTTTGTAAGGAGAATTATTAGGGGTAATTTTGAAATAAAGAATTATGGGCCAATGTCCTTAAACATTTTCCACTCAGTTTAGGTGATTATGTTAGTATTTTCAAATGTCAAAACAAGCACTTCTTAGTAAAAGGTCCATTTAGTTAAAAGGTTGCAAACAACAGGGGTGTTTTAATAAAATAAAAACTACATAGTAAATTTAAATAAATCCATGAAAGTATAAAGGTATTTTAGTAAATGGTCCTATTTGAATAAGACAAGACCCGTGTGATGGACAGGCTATAAGTTTAAGGTATTGTTCGATTTCACTTAAAAGAATTATTTATACAAATAAGTGGTGGACCACAAGATAAGTGGAAAATAATCACTCATTCATGTTTGACTAATATGTTAGGTATAAGTGCTTATTCCAAAAATAAACAACATTTGGGCTACTTATTTAAGTGCTTATTTCTACTTTTTGGGACTAGTATGTCCCTAAAAATTTGAAATTCTCTTATTGCCCCTACAAAAGAGAAAACCCTCTTGTCTTCTCCATTCATGTAGGGATGAAATTGCAGTAGTGGGTTCAACATTGGAGGCGGCTGGCGACTACGAAAACAGCAAAGAACGATCAGTATGTGAATTGTTTTCATTTTTTTTTTTTGTTTCTCTTGCATCTACATTCTGATTTTGGACTGTATTTTGGTGCTTTTTAATGTATGAACTAGATCTAGGCATTTTTTGCGCAAATCTGGTTTTTTAACGGCAAATTGGTCGAAAACTCACCAGCAACGAGGGGTATGATGTTCCTAATTGAAATACTTGGGTCTTTTTAGCATTATTATTATTATTATTATTATTATTATTATTATTATTATTATAAAAAGTATAGATACATCCGATGCAGAATTCTGAATTTCAGCCCCCCCCCTACTATTAGCCCTCTCCCACCTATAAACCACATCCTGCCCATGAATTTGGTATCAATTCATGGTCAGGATGCATTCCCCCTGTACTATAAGGCTATAAAATTCTGATATGGGCTGATTGGTCATTCTCCCTTATTATTATTGCATAGTCTAGTGAAAAAAACCATAATGCGATTTTTTTTTGGATTTTTTAGGGATGTTATTCCAATAATAATGCATTATTAGATGTTTGTTTGGGTGTTGTTGCACAATATAACGATCTATATGCATAATATGAATTTTTTGTTGGATTATCTGGAATATTACTCCAATAATATGCAATTACTTATTTTCCTTTGTTATTTTTTTGCATATTCCAAATTTTATTTTGATTTTTTGGAATATTAATTTGAATTATTTGTGATACGTTAGTTTTTTTTTTTCTTGCATAATGTATTAAGTAGTATGCATTAGCCGAATACTCGTGATATTCTTCCATTTTTTTATTGCATAATGCATTGACTATCATATTTTTTATTTTTGAAATAATATGCAATTTCTGATTTTTTTATTTCTACTTATCGCATAAAATAATTAATAAAGTGTCTGTATTAACAATCATGACTATTATGATTATTATATTATCATCATTATTATTGTTATTATTATTATTATTATCATTGTTATTTATTAATATTGTTATTGTTCTTGCTATTATTATTATTAACATTGTTAGTAGTATCATTATTATTGTGTTTATGATTGAGATATGCAAATTTAAAATTTGTAGGTTATGGTTAGTAGTCAAGGAAAAATGGAGGAAGCTCCCAAGGTACGTGGACTCCTGAACTACACAAAGTTTGGGTCGATTTGTCTTTACAACAAGTCATGGCCGGTCATAGGACCAATACTACCATGGATAGACAAGGATGGTCAATCGTGATTTAGGAGTTCACCAAGATAACAGGGAAAAAATACTATTCCCAAAAACGATGAATCATTGAGATGTGGTAAAGAATGAATGGAAAATATTCCATAAATTGTTTGCCCATACCGGTTCGGGTTGGGACCCAATACACGAAACGTTCACTGTTGGGATCTTGGGGATGATTTCTAAGAAGATTATCTAAAGGCATGTTGTATTTTGGCACTTTTATGAAATAAAAAAGTAGGTAAATTATTTTTAGGTAGAACCTTACATAATTATGTCCTTGTGTCATAGACATATCTTGATGCAATACAATTTAGGCACAAGGGTCTTCCCATGAGGTAGACTTGGACATCATATTTGATGGCACGATTGCCCATGGTGACAATAGTTGGGCACCAAATGATGATGTACTACCGGAGGTAATGCTTTTGAATGATGAATTTCTTGATGAGTGACACACACACACACCAATATGGATACCTACAAAACAATGCAAGATGTCTAGAACCAGAGCCAATTAGTACTCACCCAAGTACGAACATTCCTTAGGACATGAGCGAGAGTAGCATCTCTTCTAGGAAAAAGAAGACCACGGGGGCTGCATAGATTTGTAAGAGCTTAAAGAGAATTGATGTTGCATTTGAGATAACTACTGTTCAAGGCTGCCAGAGATATGAGAAAAATCCGGGGCTAGTCTCTATGGAACAGTGCATGAAGTTGCTTAATGAAATCCTCGGAATGAATGAGGGGAATCCATTGCACTTGTTTGCCACTCTCCAATTCCTGAAGGGTGATTTCAATGATTTATTTATTGCAGTTTGGACCCCGATCATGCATTTGAAGATTATTAGAAAGTTGTACAAGCGTTCTGAGAGAGAGTGATAGTTTCACCCATTATTTTGCTTGATTGAGATAGAATGTTGAACTTTTGTTGCTTTATTTATTATTATGCTTTGTGAACCAGATTTTTTTCTTATATAAAACATATCTTGAAGCAGATTATCAATTCTGATGATTATGTCTTCAAATAATCTGTCGTTTGGTGGGAGTGATGTATCCAAATTAACCAATGTATACTGGGCATCCACATATATATGAGATGCAATTTCATATATATTTTGCTAGTTAGTGGATGCTTTATGTTGGACATAAAGCTTCAATTATTTTCTTCATATTTTATTAACTATGTGGTGATTATAATGAAAAACAAAGATTTGGAAGTACTTTTATAATAGTGCTTTATAAGAGTAGTTTTGTGAAAGTTGTTTTTTTTTTTAAGTAGTTCAGCTTAGGATGTATTGGTTTATGAAATTTCTTATTGGAGTTGCTTTAAAATACTAAAAATCAATTGTTTCAATTATATCCTTGTATAAAGTACTTTTTGAAAGCTATTTCGTAGAAGTTCTTTTTAAAAAGGTACTTCTATGAACTTGCCTTTTTGGGAAAGTATCTTATGAAATTGCTTTTTTTGGAAGTACTTTTTAAAAGTACTTTTGGAAAATTACTTTTTGGACATATTATATATTATTTTGTAATAGTATTTCTTATTTATTTATGTTTTTTTCATTATTTATTATTATATAATTATTTTAATACTAATATATATATTTTTTAATTTATCATCATCATCATTATTATTGTTATGATTGTAATTGTGCTAGGTAGGCCAACTTGGCATTCCACGTGCATTACATGTGGACCCATGTGTGTCTCAAAGTAGTAATGTGGTAAATTCCTTGGAAATAAATAATATATTATTCAAAAACAATATTGATATGGACTTGTGAAGTAGAAGCTGAAAATGTCATTTCTACAAAATTAAGTACGTAACGGAGAAATAGCTCGCCAAACATCCTCAGGCCAATAAGTATTAGTGGTTTGGGAAAAGGGTTACCAAACAACAATAAGTACTTATTTCTCAAACCATTTACTCACCAACATAGCCCAAACAACCTCACGTTTGATTTTTTTTTTAATTTAAAAACATAAATTTCTAAATTGAAAAGCAATATGAAGAGGAGAAAGAATAAATTGACTTGGATTATTGCATTTAAAGTTTATTGAATAGATGTATCATAATTTCTTTCTCTCTCCTTTGTGGGCCTACACAATAAGGGTAGCCCTTCCCCATACCTATATGCCCACCAATCCTAGAGGTGAGAGTGCAAATACAAATATGTACGGTGTACAATGGAATGTGCACTTTTGCCCAAACTAAGGCTAAGTTTAGAAGGATTACAAATACAAAAATTAGAGTGCAAAGCGTTGTACTTTGTATTATTTTTGTATATACAATACAAATATATACAAATTGGAAGGAGTACAAATGCAAATTGTACAGTACAAATACATACAAAATAGAAGGCTTTGCACTCTACATATTTGTATTTGTACTCCTTCCAATAAGGTCCCGTTTGGTAAGTCTTTTTGAGAAGATCTTCTCGTAGGTCTAACAGTCAATAGACGCATTGAGCTTTTGACCTAAGATCTGGGCAGCCCGAAAACCGTTTGGTAGACATGCATCTTTCCATGCATCGTTTCGAGTCTTTCCGCATGAGATTAAAACCCGGAAGACGCGGAAAGCTTCATTTGGAGCTTCTCGAAATCAGCCCAAAATGGGCTTTCCGCGTCTTTTCGATGCCCCATCTTTTGGTGGCGAGCTCTTCCGCGTGCCAAATGGGAATAGGCCGATTTTTTGTCTTCTCGACTTGTAAGCAGCCGAAAGACCCCACAAAAAGACGTGCCAAACGGGGAGTTAGCCTAAGGATCATTTTAGGAGTACAAACTCAAATATGGGGTTTTGCACCGAAACATATTTGTATTTGGGCCTAAAAGATTAAAGCATCATAACTCTGCCCCTATAGTTAAAATAATGTTATAAGTTAATTAACCTTGATCCACCAATCTCAAGTCTAAGAAAAAAAATCCTTCAGCAACAAGCAACTTAGAGTTGGGCCAACTCAAACCAATGTTTTAAAAACTGACCCAGAGCCCAACCCACTTTTGCCTCCGGGTTGGGTCATTGGTTCGATTGTCTGGGTCGAATGGTTTAGATCGTGTTGTGTTAGCATTCTATATATTTAAATGTATATATAGAATGTGTGTGTTGGTGTGGGTGTGTGCGTATAAATGCATATTTTATCAATAAATACTGTATAATTATGTTTTACATATAATATATGTATCATTTTATATTTAATTTATGTTTTTAATTCAATTTTTAATATTTTATTTATAAAAAAATATTAAAAATTGCGATTTGAGGTCAAAAAGGGGTTTTCGCAAAAATAGTGGACTGACGATTAAATCGCCCGAGTTAAACGGTTTTTGACTAAACAACAAGTTTCAAGAGAACCAAACATGGAATCATGGCTAAGTAATTGTTCGAATGGTTCAATGAGTTGGGTCAACAACGGGTTGAAAACATTGACCCAAATCCAACCCAAGCCTAAGCTGAAGTCATCACACTTAGGGGAGCTCAAGGTTCAGTTAATCGTGAAATATATATGAAAAATATATAGATAATATAAAATATATATGAAATATATATTATTATATATAAATATATGTATACCGGCCGATTTGGTTAACCACCAACTTTTTATATTGGTTAATCGAAACTGAATTGATACCTTCAATTTTTTGAAAATACCAAACATTTTTGTTCCATTAATCAGAACTTTTGATTTGGTATCATCGATTCAGTTTTTTTTTTCAGTTTTTCAGTGTTTAGGGGTATGACCAAGGTTTTTAAAACCAAACCGATCAGGGGTCCGGTTCTTGGGTTAAATGGTCCAACCATTCAAACCGAATGGATAGCCTGTTTTGACAAAAAAAAAATATTAAAAATGGCCAAACCTTTGAACATTTTAAACTGTTCAACCTAGTTTGCTGACCAAATCAACGATTCTTAGCAAAATAATGGTTATGGGATAAGATGAAACTGATCACCTGACTGGTTCCCGATTTTTCTGATCCGACCATCCGGCCGATCCGGTTTTGAAAACCATGGGTATGACAACTCAGGTCGTACCCAAATCGGCGGAGGCTATCCCAACTTGCTCCCCTACGGAGGCCATCCAATCCTGTCTTACATCACCAAATTTAATCCCAACAAATATGATGTTTATTCACACATTATAGACTTTTGAATTATTTATATATTTTTTTCAAATTTAAAATATACATTACCCACATAACATACACCAACATCCTAACTACAGAGAGAGAGAGAGAGAGAGAGGGGGGGGGAGCATAGACTAATGGGAATTATCATACTATCAGCCAATTATCAATTTATTAAGCCGAAAAGAACAAGGGCAAGTACATATGTGGGCCGTTCATATTAGCATTATCTCAAAAGGACTCAGAGCCCCTCGGTGTAATCCACGCCGGTAGACTTGAGCCAAGCCCCTCCTTGTATCAGCTCTGCCACAGTGAACTTTAGGGCTTCTGCAGAGTTAGTGATAACATGGTAACCGGGCCATGTCACTCGCTTGCTTATGCCCGCACCCGGCCCACTATTTAAGTACTCCCCGTAGTACAATGTCTTCAATGCGAACTCACCGCTCCATATGGACCACCCTGCGGGTGCAATGTGATCTCCGATGTAAGATTGCATTACCACTGTTCTAGAGTACTCCTTCCATGGACGGCCGAGGTACGACGGGAACGAGTTTTTCACCGGTGCCAGGTCTGAACTTGCTATTATGTCACACTTCTGGATCGATATCCCCGTGTTCTGGTTCGGGTCGACTCGCCCTTGGGCTGTTACCATGTTCTTTTGGCTGGCCATGGGTTTTCTCGCCACCAGTTTGCAGTTCTGAAACACCACAGCCGCATCACCAAAGATAAAATCCACGGTTCCTGTGATGTAGCTATCTCGGTAGAACTGCCGGAGGGAGTGTACGTAAAGGGTGTCTTGGTATGCGTCTATACGGCATCGGTTTATCACCGACTGATCTGCCCCCACTCGTAGCGCAACCGCTTGATGCTTCTCTGGACCCGCCGTGTTCTGAAACCACATGTCCTGTGCAATGAATCCATCTCCCACAGCAGCTGCGTAGCAAGATCTTGAGTTAAAAACTTGTGAAATTTGTGTTTTATGTTTTAACAGCGAGTACCCAAGGTTGGGCCTGTGCCCTTTCTCCATTTGGATCGATTAAGGACCAGTTGTGCTGTGAAGTATTTAGATGCTTACCAACAGTGGCAGATTTGAAGGTGGTTGATCCATCTACGACGTTGAGGCTGCCGGTAATGATGGTCGAATCCATGCCATCGCCGACGAGCATCACGTTCATCTTCTTCTTCCCCACCTCCACATTCTCTTTGTACGTTCCTTTCTTCACGTAGATCACGTACCGGCTCTTCCCTTTATCCGGCGCCGAATTGACCGCCTCCTGCACCGTCTGGTAATTCCCACTACCGTCTTTGGCGACGACAACATTGGCTTTAATGTTCCTAGGCAAAGATTGTAAAAGCTTTCTGTCATTCTTCGTGACCCAAGACGGAAATTTCCCGTCTAGTGGCCTGAGAGCATCTTCCTTGGACGAGGAAATTGCCGTCAGCATGGCCAAGGAAGTTTTAGCCCTGGCTATCAAACCTTGGAGCTTGTCTTCCATCGCTGCTCTGGCCGATCCATTGAGCCCGTCCAGGCATGTCACATGGTTAGTGAGTATGCTACTGAGCCATGAATGAGCGTCGGCCGGTGATCGGGAAGTCCGAGTTCCTAGAACCGCCACGGTATCCGTTAAACGATCGATTGACAGGTCCATCAGCTCCACACAATCAACTAACGCCGCTTGTTCTGTTCGGTCGTTAATCCGAGAGTTCACACTGTGGGCAACCTTCAGGGCCTCCTTTACGAGCAATGCAGATTTTTCCAGGAAGCTCCGGAGGAGATCAACGTCGTTCAATTGCTTCGCTCCTTTGGCGGCAACGGCTTCGTAGACCATGGATAGGCATGATTCCCGGTCGTGAGCGGGATGGCATAAACGAGCCTGGACGGAGTCAGAGAGATTAGATGGGCCGGTAGTGTTGATCAGATGGGGAGCTACTATAACAGTGAGGGAGACGATGGCAGCCAAAGAAAGAAAAATGTAAAGGATTTTGCAAGAGGAGGAAGTCCTCTTGGGAGCGCCTAGCAGTGGTTGATGACCGGCTTCCATCATACTGAGTATATGTCTCTGCACTTGTGAGTTCAATAAGTTTCCTCTCTTCTTAAATAGGTAGAAGGGTAGCAAGGATTAGAAGTTTCAATCAGGCATAAGTGCAACCATGTGGAGGATGATACTCAGCCTAAGTGAAAACAAGGCAAGAATTAAAAAAAATCAGAGAAAAAGGGAAAGAGGGATAGATTTCAAAGTAGCAGAAAGTGAGCCATGTGGCCCATGTCAAGCTGGAAGAGGAAAATGGGCTCGCTCTCCAACGTGGTGTTTCTTGACCCTATGGGACACTGGTGTTACGTACTCTTCCATCTGGAATTTGGGTTCATGAAAATAATAGTGTTCGACTGCTGAGGTTGTGGGGCCAAGTGTCTTTTCCAAAGTCGAAGTTATTCTGAACTCTTGATTTGGTAAAGTAAAATGGATAGGAATTGAGTTGCACCCTTTTGAAAATGGAAGATATCTACACAGTTTTGATGGTCAATCAGTGAATAATTGAATGATAAATAAAGGAGACAATAAGATAGACTAGGCCATTATTAGCCTCTATAAGATTTACTGTGTGATGAATTATAAAATGCTCCATAAATAGGGTGTAAATCAAATTTGGATTTAGACTCAAAGATCGAAAATGTAAATCAAACTAGGCTGGATCAATTTACGCTCGGATTAGACCCGCCTGTTGTAGTGTTGTACCCCAAATTCCACATCCATAAATTTTACATTATCCAGACTCACTCCAATAAACGTAAAGGATAGTCAGTGGGTAGTCGTTCCAAAACCACGTGCCCCACAGCATGTAGTGTGAGTGTGGCTCAAATTAAAATATCTAGGCTGCCGGACTATTTAGTCATTTTGTCAGTGGAGAAAGAAGAAAAAGATAAATTCAAATTGCTTAGTGGGTCAGAAGATGTCGTGTCCTTTGTTCTGAATTCTTGCAAGGAGAAAGGGTAGGGGGCAACTCACCTTTTTAAATGTTATAGATTTGCAGTTCTGCAGTGGGTCTATCCCTATTTCTCTCAAGTTTTTAAATCAACTTTTCAATAATAACTTACTACATGACAGATGACATTATGAATAAATGGCCAAGAAGATGCTATTTTGAAAAGTTGAATTCCATTTTGGCTAAATTTATTAAATTATTCTTATAGTTTATTTAATTGATTAATTTTATAGAAAGATGAAAAAGATTATTTTACTTCTTTTTTTTTCAAATTTTTAAAATTAAATAGAAGAAAAGAAAGAGGGAGTATGTATCCATGATGCAACCATCGCTAGTGGATGGTGGAACAGGGGAGGGCCGAGGTAGGGAGACAGGAACGCGATTCTGATCTATGTTGAAACATGGCCTCTTCTTATACATGGTTTGACCGTTCGACTCGAACTGTCGGTCCGTTCTAGCAAAAAAAATTTAAATAATTGTAAATCGGTCAAAATGGTTCGAACGGTTCAAACAGTTAATCGGCCGGTTCAGCGATTTGCTTACCAAAATCAACGGTTTTGAGGGAAAAAGCGGTTTTGGAGGAAAACAGAATCGACCAAGTGATCGGTTCCCGGTTTTAGGCTTGCAGTGCTTCAGGTTTATAGGTATTGTGTAGACTAGCAGAGAATCTTTATGCTTCATGCCATCGTCATGCGCCTAGGAAAAAAAGAGTTTGCATCTCCGCCACACCGCCTGTCGCCCCACAAATGCCCCACACAACGTGTGACTGCCACATGTTCACTTGTGCTCGGTGGGGTGTTCTCATGTGCAGGGTTAATGGAACGACCGTTAGCTTGTTCCGTTAGTCCCAAAATGAGCCTAAACTTCTTTCCTCCTATACAACATTTTAAAAAATGATTCGGAAATTGAACTGTTTTGACCACTGGTTTCTGTGTTAATGGTTTGACTATCCGGTTCGAACGAATGGCCCGTTCTGACAAATAAGTTAAAAAAAATAAAATCTAATTAAAAATAAAAAATGGTCAGAAATCATTGAACGGGTCGACAATTCGACCAAAGGGGAGTGAAACAAGGGTTAAACAATTTGAGGCAAGGTTTTCGAATCACCGTTGACCCAAACGGTCAAACCGTTCAGCCTGAGAACCGTTCAGGCAACCAGTTCCATTAACCTGGGCCGTCGAACCATCAACCTGGAAAATGGTGGCCAAAATGGTTCCATTTCCAAGTCATTTTTTTAAACGTTGGTTTGAGGTTGAGGGGGCGGGAAAATGGGAGAAAGGAGGTTTGGGCTCGTTTTGGGGCTAACAGGACAAATGGATGAGTCGTTTTGACAAATAAATTAAAAAAATAAAAAATGGTCAAAACCATTGAACAAGTTGATAGTTCGATGACCCGGGTCAACAGGACCAGTTGCCTGGACGGTTCCTAGGCCGAATGGTCTGACCGTTCGGGTCAACAGCGGTTCGAAAACCTTGCCTCAAATTGTGTTTAACCCCTGTTCTACTCTCTTCCGCTCAAGCTCAGATCCAACTCCATTTTCGGCAACGGCGATCGCTCCGGCCAGTTCACCGTTACCAGGTGCGCCCGGGTCAACAGTTCCGTTTTACCCCAAATCCGGTATTTGGCCAAAAATCGTTGAAAAAGTCAACAATCTGTTGACCCAAGCGGTCAAACCGTCGACCCGTTCAACAATTTTTGACCTTTTTATTTTTAATTATTTTTTATTTTTTTTAATTTCTTTGTCAGAATGGGCCATCCATTTGAATTAAATGGTTGAACCGTTGACCAAAAACCGATGGCCAAAACGGTTTCATTTCCAAGTTGTTTTCTTAAAACATTATATGGGAAAAAGGAAGTTTGAACTCGTTTTGGGACTGGTGGGACGAGCTAACGGCCGTCCCATTAGCCCTGCACATGGGAACTCTCCACCACGTGCGACTAGACATGTGGCAGGCGCACGTTGTATGGGGACTGGGGCGTTTGTAGGGCAACAGGAGGTGGGGCAAAGACTTGAACTCGGAAAAAAGCACCCCAAGGACTGATTTAACGTGCACCGGTAAGAAACATTGCGGCATGGTTCAAAGTATCAATACGATACACCTCGTATCGGGCGTATCGTATCGTATCATTTGAAAATGATACGATCCAAAACTTCTGTTCCCAAGGGTTTCGGACCCCAAATTTTTTTTAATAATAAAAAACAGGTTATAAGCTTTTCAAAAAACAAAACTTTGAAAAAAAAACAAAAAAAATAAAGTTTCGGCCGTTTCTAAGTGCCGATACAATACGGCCAAAACTCGTATCATATCGATACTTTGAACCTGGCTGCGGTGCTTCATATTGGAAACACTTGAAGGTTTAGAAGTTTAGATGATGAGGTTTGACACCATTTGGGTCCCTGTGCCGAAATGTTTAGATGGAGAGTTATCAACCTTTTAAAGTCGACAACTGGCAAGTGCTCTGAGATATGTTAAGAGACATACTTGTATATATAGAGGGAAAAAAGCAAGTTATTTTCAGGGTTCAACTATGATATGGAAAAGATATGATATCTGAAAAACTTTTGCCCAATGAACCGGAATCATAAACATGGTAGCCAATCAGGTGTTATTTATCAAAATTTATGCGGGTTTTGATTGGTCAAAACTCTTTTCCATACCATATCTTTTCTGCATCATAGATTTTCCCTTTTTTCAGAGGAAAACCGACGCCTAGGTATACAAAATCAGATGCCAAGTACCAAAACAAGAAGGAAATGAAAAATCAGATCTAAAAAGAATGAAATCCTCTCTTACATCAAACATAGCCTCTCTGCTATAGTTTAAAACTATGCCCCTCTCTCTGCTTCTACTTTCCGGTTTGGGGTGACGTTTCCTACTTTCAATCTCTACGTTGGTGAGACTCTCTACAATAGTCTAAAACCATGCCCCATTTTCTCTCTACTTCGACTTTTCAGTTTGGGGTTACTGTTCGGGTGATAGTGTTGATCGAACTGTAGGCTAATTTTTGAAATCGAACCAGAGTTATTGGTTTTTGGAAAATCAGAAACTAAATCGAATCCGATCGGTTAATTGGTTGACAGTTGGTTTGATTTGTCAGTTTTTATTATTTATAAAATTTATTATAGGAAAATATATAAATATATATAGAAGTATATATAATATTATATTTTAAATAATAAATAATATATTATATATTATTAATATATATATAATGTATATTTATTAATTGGTAATGTATAGAAAATATAAAATATAAAATATATATAAATATACATAAAATATAATATATATATCGGTTGATTCGATTAACTGCTAATTTTCTATTTTCGTTAACTGAAACCGAACTGGTACCTTCGGGTTTTTAACATATTGAACCAAAATCGAACCGACCGGTTTGATTAACCAAATTTTTTGTTTGGTTTCGATCGATTTTTTCAATCGATTCGGTTTTTCGGTTTTTTTGCTCACCCCTACGGGTGATGGTTGAGCTGGCCAAGGATGCCACATGGCAACCTCCGCGGCTGCCCCTCCTCACAGGCCATGTTGACGCCACGCATAACGGAAGATCATAACTAAGAAGGAGTGTCCTGCACGGACAATGAAGCAAAATCCATCAGGGAAAAGGAAACCTCCTGAAAACCTCGATAGACGCCCTCATCTCGACAACCCTAGAAGCCCTATCCATTTGGGACATGGACACCCAACTATAAATAGGTATCCCCGCTCGAGGTAAAAGACTTTTGGGAACTACACTCTTTTGAATACCTCTTTTCACTATCTCTTCAGCCTGGACCAACACTATTTCAACCTTCTCACTCGACCATATCTTTCTCTACCTTATTGACTTGAGCGTCGGAGTACCTACTCGGGGAACAACTCCTTGGGCCGTTGACTTTTCCCCTGGTTGCAGATCTTGGTGCTTGGCTTCGTCCTTCCACTTCGACTTCGTTTAGTTGGTAGGACTATCTGATTGTGTCCTCGATTTGGAACAACTCAGATTGGACAGCATCATGTTAAGTCTCCTATTTTCGATCACTGCATGACGTCGATTAGGCTCTCTATTATATTTTAAAACCATGTCCCACTCTCTCTTTACTTCGACTTTTCAATTTGGGGTCACATTTCATATTTTTTATCTCTACTGGACATCAGTGAGGCTCTCTGCTATAGTCTAAAACCATGACCCTCTCTCTCTCTGCTTCAACTTTTTGGTTTGGGGTTATGTTTCCCTTATCTCGCTAAAGACAATGAAGAAACCAAAGGGATTTGGATCGATAGAGTTATGGTTT